GACATTAGATAAATGGTCAACATGATTATCAATTTTACTTACTAAGTTTTTATTACCAGGATGTGTTAGCAATTACCATCAACAGTGATGTTAATTTAATATGTCTTTTTTTAAATATACACATGTATTGAAATAATTCAGTTTAATATAAGTGAACAGCACGCCCAACACTATTTTAGGCTGTCATCAGACCGTGTAACTGCCGATAACATTATGTTGGAAAGAATCACGTGCAAATACACTTGAGGTCATGCACGTGCATTGCTTTGATATTGCACTTATCAGATGATCGCGTGATATAGGACAAGTAAAGTTAGTTATACGGACAGAGCTGTGTTGGCACTCTGGTTTTAATGTTTGTATAATCCCGTAGCTATCTACACTTAGTTGTATGTATTTATATCTTACTGGAACGTTTCATCTTATCACCATACAGAATTTAGTCTCCCTGTAAACACAGAAAACAAAACGGGAGAATTTTTGTCATCTGTTTTTTATGGGTTTCTATTTTCATCTTTCCCCGGAAAATACACATGAGTGGAGCTGATCTACAATTCTAATAGACTAAAAAAAGCCGAGCTAGAGTTTTGCTATTTCACAAAGTTACACACAGAAATGACACCGAAATATCATGTGTCAGTAAATTCCTAAAGGGAATAATTAATTTTACTACTCTAGCCATAATCCAAGAGAATACTCGAAGGAGTTAAAGTTACGCACGCGCGGTGTTTTGGTATAACAATCAGCAGCTAGCAGAACAATAGAGCGAACACAATCTTCCTAATTGCTTAATTCTAGCCCGACTAAATAACTTTAACAATATTCTATTCCGCGGCTCAGACAATGGAAACAATCACCAGAAATTGCATCATGAATCACTCCGAACTAAACAATCCATTTACCAAAGACAAATACAGACTCTGAACGGTTAGGTCGTGCGTGACGAAACATTAAGGTATCGAAAAAGAGATAACGGGACTGGACGACAGGAAATGGAGTGGTCACTATATACCTAGATTTCCTTAAAGTATTTAAAACAGTCCTTCATCAAAGACGGTTATAACAACTACAAGTTTACGGTGTGAAAAGAACATCACAAAATGGACGTTCTAAAACAAATAGTGAATTTTTAAGTTAAGCTGATAAGACCAGTTTTGCATATTGCTGACATAGCATTGTGCACCACTTTGTTAAGTACAGTCGGGGTGTGTTATAAACACAATGCTGATACTCATCAAAATTCCGCGTGTTTTAGTTCGTTAGCACTGCATAACCTCACTTATATCCTTATATCACTATTACATGTGTCGACATAATGTTGTACCTGTACCGACATACTTATCTCGGGGATCTATCACAATACCAATACCTGTTCCTGGGCACGCCAATTATCACACCGATCCATCAATGAATGACGTGTTACTGTTGCTGTCTTGAACATGTTTTTTTAGTACAGACACGGTTATACCTGGTTTATTTAGTACTGACACTGTTATACATGGTTTATTTAGTACTGTAACTGTTATACATGGTTTATTTACTACTGTAACTGTTATACATGGTTTATTTAGTACTGTAACTGTTATACATGGTTTATTTAGTACTGACACTGTTATACATGGTTTATTTAGTACTGTAACTGTTATACATGGTTTATTTACTACTGACACTGTTATACATGGTTTATTTAGTACTGTAACTGTTATACATGGTTTATTTAGTACTGTAACTGTTATACATGGTTTATTTAGTACTGTAACTGTTATACATGGTTTATTTAGTACTGTAACTGTTATACATGGTTTATTTAGTACTGTAACTGTTATACATGGTTTATTTAGTACTGTAACTGTTATACATGGTTTATTTAGTACTGTAACTGTTATACATGGTTTATTTAGTATTGTAACTGTTATACATGGTTTATTTAGTACTGTAACTGTTATACATGGTTTATTTAGTACTGACACTGTTATACATGGTTTATTTAGTACTGTAACTGTTATACATGGTTTATTTAGTACTGTAACTGTTATACATGGTTTATTTAGTACTGTAACTGTTATACATGGTTTATTTAGTACTGTAACTGTTATACATGGTTTATTTAGTACTGTAACTGTTATACATGGTTTATTTAGTACTGTAACTGTTATACATGGTTTATTTAGTATTGTAACTGTTATACATGGTTTATTTAGTACTGTAACTGTTATACATGGTTTATTTAGTACTGTAACTGTTATACATGGTTTATTTAGTATTGTAACTGTTATACATGGTTTATTTAGTACTGTAACTGTTATACACAGTTTAATTAGTACTGACACTGTTATACATGGTTTATTTAGTACTGACACTGTTATACATGGTTTATTTAGTACTGTAACTGTTATACACAATTTATTTAGTATTGTAACTGTTATACACAGTTTATTTAGTACTGACACTGTTATACATGGTTTATTTACTACTGTAACTGTTATACATGGTTTATTTAGTACTGTAACTGTTATAAACAGTTTATTTAGTACAGACACTGTTATACATGGTTTATTTAGTACTGACACTGTTATACATGGTTTATTTAGTACTGACACTGTTATACATGGTTTATTTAGTACTGACACTGTTATACATGGTTTATTTAGTACTGTAACTGTTATACATAGTTTATTTAGTACTGTAACTGTTATACATGGTTTATTTAGTACTGACACTGTTATACATAGTTTATTTAGTACTGTAACTGTTATACATGGTTTATTTAGTACTGTAACTGTTATACATAGTTTATTTAGTACTGTAACTGTTATACATGGTTTATTTAGTACTGTAACTGTTATACATAGTTTATTTAGTACTGTAACTGTTATACATGGTTTATTTAGTACTGACACTGTTATACATGGTTTATTTAGTACTAACACTGTTATACATAGTTTATTTAGTACTGACACTGTTATACATGGTTTATTTAGTACTGACACTGTTATACATGGTTTATTTAGTACAGACACTGTTATACATGGTTTATTTAGTAATGTAACTGTTATACATAGTTTATTTAGTACAGACACTGTTATACATGGTTTATTTAGTACTGTAACTGTTATACATGGTTTATTTAGTACTGTAACTGTTATACATGGTTTATTTAGTACTGTAACTGTTATACATGGTTTATTTAGTACTGTAACTGTTATACATGGTTTATTTAGTACTGTAACTGTTATACATAGTTTATTTAGTACAGACACTGTTATACATGGTTTATTTAGTACTGTAACTGTTATACATGGTTTATTTACTACTGTAACTGTTATACATGGTTTATTTAGTACTGTAACTGTTATACATGGTTTATTTAGTACTGTAACTGTTATACATAGTTTATTTAGTACTGACACTGTTATACATGGTTTATTTAGTACTGACACTGTTATACATGGTTTATTTAGTACTGTAACTGTTATACATGGTTTATTTAGTACTGTAACTGTTATACATGGTTTATTTAGTACTGTAACTGTTATACATGGTTTATTTAGTACAGACACGGTTATACATGGTTTATTTAGTACTGACACTGTTATACATGGTTTATTTAGTACTGACACTGTTATACATGGTTTATTTAGTACTGACACTGTTATACATGGTTTATTTAGTACTGACACTGTTATACATGGTTTATTTAGTACAGACACGGTTATACCTGGTTTATTAATACTGTAACTGTTATACATAGTTTATTTAGTACAGACACGGTTATACATGGTTTATTTAGTACTGACACTGTTATACATGGTTTATTTAGTACTGACACTGTTATACATGGTTTATTTAGTACTGACACTGTTATACATGGTTTATTTAGTACTGTAACTGTTATACATAGTTTATTTAGTACTGTAACTGTTATACATAGTTTATTTAGTACTGACACTGTTATACATGGTTTATTTAGTACAGACACTGTTATACATGGTTTATTTAGTACTGACACTGTTATACATGGTTTATTTAGTACTGTAACTGTTATACATTGTTTATTTAGTACTGACACTGTTATACATGGTTTATTTAGTACTGACACTGTTATACATGGTTTATTTAGTACTGTAACTGTTATACATGGTTTATTTACTACTGTAACTGTTATACATGGTTTATTTACTACTGTAACTGTTATACATGGTTTATTTACTACTGTAACTGTTATACATGGTTTATTTAGTACTGTAACTGTTATACATGGTTTATTTAGTACTGACACTGTTATACATGGTTTATTTAGTACAGACACGGTTATACCTGGTTTATTTAGTACTGACACTGTTATACATGGTTTATTCAGAAATGACACATTTGTTATTGACTATTATTTGATTGTTTGTGTAGTACAGAAACAAGTGAGTGGTTTACGTGTATATTTCTTATTGTTAAGGCTGTTTCCCTTCGTTCACATTATCAATGTTCCGTAGCTACAAAATCAGATTACTTCCGTACGTACATGGTATATTGTACTTTAAGTTATTTATAGAACTGACATAGTAACACATTTATTTGACTTGAGTGAACTCGCGGGTTCTGATCTATATCTGTGTTATGTTTTAGCATATATACTGAGTTTTATATATACATGTATGCCCTACCAGTGTCATTGCAGTGTGGAGAAAATCTACAATTCAGCTTAACCTCGTGTTCGTTTTTTACCTGTGGAGAATGTATGGGGTCGCAATGTTACTAAGACATATGTTTATTAAGTACCTTCCAATAACCACAAGCACTCTGTCTTCTATCTGTGGTTTAACATGTAAACAAACGAGGTATGTACAGCTTACTATAAAATCCGTGTTTACACGTTCCGGTGATTGCCATTAATTCCTGTCCGGATGGTCTCGCGCTAAAGCCTCCGGGCCCGTAATGACGTACCGGATTGTGTTTAGTGATTACGTTACAAAGACCGACATTTTAATTCAGTATCCTAACCTTACCTTGTAAGCATCCGGAATGTTTTGTGGCTCTCCCGTTTTCGCCACATATCCTATTATTCCCGTTCCCCATGCTATTCGGATACTCTCTCGATTTTCCGACACTTCTTCTAACGGTGTTTCGGCGTTAACGTCAAATAGTTTGGACACAAGATGTTTCTCCTCCGTACCACTACCATGCACGAGGAAGAGGGAGCACCTGTCAGCGTCCAGGAGTATACACACATTTTGGAGTATTTTATGACACAAACTTGTGACGTCCAGGTCGTTACATATGTCAATCACCAATTCGTACATGAGTTCCTTCTCGTCTAGCGCCTTAAGTTCGCTTCGCGAGCGACGTTGGCATTTGTTGTTGGTACTGCTTTGACTGGACGGGACAGATGAAGGACCCAGAAAAGTGGGCAACCCATCAACTGTTGATACTATAGGGTCCAGAGTATCCCCTTTATCGAATTCTTGAGCAGATATTTTCCTAACCGGTGTATTCGTTCCAGAGTTGTTTCTTGAGTTCGAATCACTAGAATTATCCGACTGGACGTGGAGGCCGGTACTGTGGTTAAAGGCATGCGCCAGAAGCCAACCGTCTACCATGCTCTTTTTTGCTTTCCGGGCAAAATAGTCGTGGACGAATTCCGGATGGTCGTCCATCCAACGCTCCATCCTGGAATATTCCTCCGACTGTTCCGGAGACTGTCTGTCACCACAGCTCGGCTCGACCGACATCTTCCTGAAACCACCTTTGGTTTTTCCTTTTGTCCGTCTAGACCTACATGTGGACGACGATGAACATGGGAACAGTTTGGAGGAGAAACTTTGGCGGAGCGAATCCAGTTTGATGTTTCCGATAGGAAGCTTAGGTAAGAAGTGTTACTGGAGAACACGGGAGCTCTCAGCTGACAAACTTCCCAGCCCAGGCTTGAATGCATACACGTACGGATCCATAAACTAGTAGGTAAATATTTGACCCGTTCTGGCGACACAGCACACTGAGATCGTATGGCACGGTAGGATGACTGGGATTAAAGCGCTATCCCGGTATCTGACGGAGCGCCGGTATCGTGATGTCCAATAGTTCCGCGCGTTTCGGTATTGACCCGACTCCGTACTACAGCGTCAATCACATGGTTGTGTTTACAACTAGGCCAGGGTTTCCTGGGTACGGTTTTGTCTATTGTAATACCATCCGTACACGATCGAACGCACTAACACACACTGTTGTAGCCATATTATACACTATGTAGGTAAAGCCAAAGAAAGTCGGCTAACCTACAAACGTAAACCGATTCACAAAACTTGGTTACGTCCTACCCCCTCTCTACTGTTCAATATAGGCGTACCTGAGGCCTTGTATTTTCTGTATTCAGCCTTGTGATTGGTTTGGAGTTCCACTATCGTCATAAGGGTCAAGGGTCACTTCGTGGGAGATCAAAATACTTCAGTGTTTCTACAAATTCTTCTTGTCGGGCCGGGTCTCTCCAGTCTCCGCATGACGAACTCAAGAGTTAACAGTGCTAGATAATCTTATCCACCACGACTGCTTGAGCAATTGAAGGTTTTTATATTACGGACAATTTCCTCTATCGAAACATTTTCTCAGACTCCTTAGACGCATCTATTTAATATTCACCACGTATACGTCAACACAAGCACGTGGCCGCGTGGCCTTTGTATGTGTGCTGTACAACACCGACTGTGCAGCGCATATGATTATATGTATTATACCAGCTGATGATCATCCTACGGGATACACGATATAATACACATGTTGACGATTCCGACATGGTTGACTGGACTGGATATCGTTCAATAATTCCACAGTATTGTTCTTTAGGTAGTACCGATTCTATAATTACGATAACATCTCAGTTATCGTGTGGAATCAATTGACTGGTAGGTGTTATTCCCGTATGTTTAAAGTAGTCTGTGTTGATCTCTGAAATATACGCTTTAAAAATCGTCGACTATTTCTACTGAGTACTTTAACTGCAAATCTACTAACTGACTGTTTATACGCTGACAGACTGTATATCTACAGACATAGTCTGTATATTTACTGACACAGACTGTATATCTACTGACAGAGACTATATATCTACTGCCACAGACTATATATCTACTGTCACAGAATGTATATCTACTGACACAGACTATATATCTACTGCCACAGACTATATATCTACCGACACAGACTGTATATTTACTGACACAGACTGTATATCTACTGACAGAGACTATATATCTACTGACACAGACTGTATATCTACTGTCACAGACTGTATATCTGCTGAAACAGACTGTATATCTACTGACACAGACTATATATCTACTGACACAGACTGTATGTCTACTGACACAGACTGTATATCTACTGACACAGACTATATATCTACTGACACAGACTGTATAACTACTGATACAGATTATATATCTACTGACACAGACTTTATATCTACTGACACAGACTATATATCTACTGACACAGACTTTATATCAACTGACACCGACTGTATATCTACTGACACATACTATGTATCTACTGACACAGACTGAATATCTACTGTCACATATTATATATCTACTGACACAGACCGTATATCTACTGACACTGACCGTCTACTAAAGCACACTGTTTATCTTTTCTATATTTGTAGACAAAGAATGCAGATCTACGGATACTGATCATTTTTTCCATAATTAATGTTTATCAAAACAGGTACCGGGCTTTTTCTGTTTGTACATAAATCACTCTCGAATTGACATAGAATAATAGAGTTCGGGATACGTGGTAAGCGTATACCAATCGCTGCTATGTCGAAATCATGTATAAGTACAATCCAGGATACTTGCTGCCTGTATACCAGTCACTGTTATGTCGAAATCGTGTATTAGTACAGTCAGAGATACTTGTTGCGTGTATACCAGTCACTGTTATGTCGAAATCGTGTATTAGTACAATATGTGATACGTGTATACCAGTCACTGTTATGTCGAAATCGTGTATTAGTACAATATGTGATACGTGTATACCAGTCACTGTAATGTCGAAATCATGTATTATTACAATGTGAGATACTTGCTGCATGTATACCAGTCACTGGTATGTCGAAATCGTGTATTAGTACAATATGTGATACGTGTATACCAGTCACTGTTATGTCGAAATCGTGTATTAGTACAATCTGAGATACGTGTATACCAGTCACTGTAATGTCGAAATCATGTATTATTACAATGTGAGATACGTGTATACCAGTCACTGGTATGTCGAAATCGTGTATTAGTACAATCTGAGATACGTGTATACCAGTCACTGGTATGTCGAAATCGTGTATTAGTACAGCAGTCACTGGTATGTTGAATATATGTCACAGTACAGCTCCGGATACGTGATACGTGTATCAACTGGCCGTATACGAGAGGTTTTTATTTCAAACATCATAGAAATAACAACAAATCGGTCAGTGTATATCCCATTAAGTTGTCATACCGCTGCAGTGAGAGCACGTTGTTCGGAATGGAGAAACCCGGAGGGCAAAGGAAGTGGTCCCATTAGCTGGAGTGTAACAAATAACAGCATGTAATCACGTTCCCAATGACGTCACATACTCTGATGTTAACGACGTTTTCATTAAGCTTCACCTCGGAAACTCCTTAGCTCCTGTCAGGCGTTTCCCGGAATCTGTCACTGGTGTCCGTAAGTTCGTTATCGTAGACGTACCTCAGAAGCGTTCTTCATGCCGACATGATATAGTCATGACATTATTTTTGATATTCGGTAGGAAAAATCGCAATAGATAAGAGTGTTTTTATTGCTGGAACGGTTGATGCTAAAACGACCTAGCATTGTGCACCTGGAGATTACATAAAAGTCTGTGCCATTGAAATCAGAAGGAGCTCGGTCGATAGTAGTGGGAAATGTCCACCATCAACATTTCCTGTCGTAAGGAACAGTCATCTTTAATTCTCGGTCCGATACTAAATAAAAATCACAACACAGCATGGAATAGTGGTGTAGTAGATGTTTGATGACCACATCGTCATGTTGACGTCATTTGTGTCACGTATGACGTCGCTTTAATACTAGGAGCTGATTCTCTTTTTTCATTGATTTTCATTAGACAAGAAAGGGTCGGAAAGGACGTTAAACAGAACAGCGAGAGAATATTTGTAAAACAAATGGATTTTAATATGAAAACCAAATAATTGTTCAATTTTTCGTTGTTTTTTTTTTCTAAAATACTGAGCTCAAGTCCATCAGACCTCTTAGATATATTTACACTAGCATGCTATCATCGTTACACTAGTGATCATCAATATATACCACCCCAAGAATACAGCGCCTGAAAAATAAAGTATCGGATACAACTAAAACAAAAAATCCTGTAAGCTAACAGTTGCAAGTCCCAAACTAAGTACCGGTAATTACACTGTCCCGTTTCCGTTTAAATTGTCCAGCTGTCTTTCAGCCAAACAGATCTAACGTCACATCAGGCTTTTTATCTAACTCAACAACTCATGGACGCACAATCCACAATTGTTCTTAAATCCAGAATATCATCGATTGAATTATGTTGTCTTTAAACTACTTTGTTATTTGTTGTCGTCAATAGATATCTCAGCATCGACTCGTAGTGCTTCAGTATATTTCGGCTGTTCTATTAAATTCGTGGGTGTTCCATCGATGTGTATAAGATCATTTATCTTTGGCTATCAAATGTAAATAATATGAATTATGACAAAGCAATGTGGAGCGAGCGTAATATTATTAATGATGTATTTCAATCTGGTAGACAAACGTGAAAATATATTTGGCAACGATATTTATCTAACCTAAAGTGTAAGAAACACGTTTCTCTTTGAATATTGTCTCTAATTTGTCCATTACAATTTCATGATGTTTTGTTTTTCCCAGATTTCAGAAAAGGTTTACGGGGTAAGATACTTATCGCCTTAGTCTTGTCCACATTCTTGTTTTCTGCACACATAATGAAGCGTCTGGATGATCGAGACCACTTTGTTACTATATTCACAAAGTTGCTACCCGCCATTGGCGCAAAGCATTACTGGGACTTCCATTTCCGTATCACAATTCATGGTTGTTAGTATGGATTTTTTTTTCTACTTTTTAATGCCCGTGTTATCCTTTGAGATTGCTTTGCTACGCTCGCTATAAGGATTGTATTTTTATCTTCTGTACCTGCAACGAAGGGTTTTTACATTAGGGTAAATGCATTTTAACCCCATATCATTATTCAGTAATATGAGTCATGCAGTTCGTGGAAAGAGTGAAGCTTACATGCAACAGTGACATTCTCGGTTTAAAGTATTAATAAAATAAAACACCTGTAAAAATTTGGTTTACTGGTTAGTACTTCAAGAAATGAAGACAATTTAGCGCTACAGAGAGTGATCGTTCGAGCAATCAATGTGACGTTGGCGTTTTGTGTGATTGTGTATATGACGTCATGATATTTGTTGCCGTTATTTTCAGAGTACTTGAAGGAATAGACTGGGTTACCTACGTCAGTTGCATTTCGAAGCCAAGTCTAGCAGAGAGCAGAAAAAAAACTACGGTAGACAATCATGTCTATTGGAGGAATAAAGAAATTTTAAATCAGGCAAATTTCATTTGTGTAAAATCACCTTTTTGTTTAGTAATAATTAAAAGTAAGTCAAACAAATTCAGGAGAGAGGGAAAATTGTATCATAGTAATTTTGATCACGCACTGAAGTTAGCTACGGGTAAAGTGCGGCGCACCTTTTTCATGTCTTTCACTTCCAGATTCTCCATGCCTTTCACTTCTGGGAGATTTTTCTAAGATGGATGAAGTTTCTGGCTTTAAATATATTTTTATTGTATCAAATAAATACAATTGGGATTGGGCACAGGTTTTCCAACTTCTATCAAACCCTCACTGTAAAAAATGTTTACACAAGAGGACGCAAATCTACATATTAAAGCAATGATGTTTTTTATCAAGTCCTGGTACCTCACGTTCTAGACGTGAATGAAACATGTTCTTACGCATGTTATCGGTATACAGGTTCGCTCAGGCGCTTTGGCGCCCGAAGAGCTTCGCTCTTATCAAACGTAGACAACTAATCTCTCCTAGAGTGCTCACGCCATTTCAAGATTCTTGAAAAACAAATTTGTATCAAGTAATAAAGTATATCATTATTTTTCTGTTTTGTTATTGGTATTATTTTGAAAAAAGACGTTTTTTCACCTTGAAAATGACTAAATATGTTTATAATTATTCTATTATTAGTTTTGAGTAAACTATCACCAACCGTCGTTTTTACATTTTGTTCTTTCACTTTTCAACTTCCGACGTGTTCTCGAGATACATGTTCATTACTGTGATATCGATGATGAAGGATGGTAATTTAGCTACGATATAAGGAACATATCCTCTTAAAAAGTGCAAATGTTGATTTTACGCTGAGTTGTGTCTTTGGTTGGTGTTGTCAGGGAGGCCACAATAGTTTTCCCCGACGTCAAACTTTGACCCTGAACAAGAGGTCAACTGGTGTAGTGTGACTGTTAAGGAAAT